TTTCTCTACATCAATGGTTTATCACATATGATGGACGTTTGCCTCACTGTCACGGCCAGCTCTCAGTACCTTTTGGGGAATCCTATCCAATGGAATGGAAAGCTTTCAGCTTTAAGTGTTCTTGAACCTATCGCTCCTCCACTGTTTGCTGGCCCTCTGCTTCCTCAACTGTGCTGGTAGGCACAGAGGCTTGGGGTCAGGCTTTGCCTATGAAGACTAAAGCAAAAGCGTTAAGTATTTCAGCTTATCCCATCTCATTCACCAATAGGATGTCCACCCTATTCAACAACAGGTTAAGCATTTTATTTAAATTTCCTTTAGCTGATGGAATTTCTATTTATGCTTATTGCTAATTTTAGCTTCAACTGAGCTTCAGCCTTCCTGTCATCACCCATGAAAGCCTAAGAAATGTTGATACTTCTTTGATGTCTGTCCCTGCTTTCACATGGCTTGTTATAAGCAAAACTCCACTGAAGAAAGGTGTGTGCAAAAATACAAGTCATCTACAATATAGCTCCAAAATGTGTCCATTCACTTTCAGATGACCAGTAAAGCAGGTTCATTTAAAAAAATGCCAAGGGTTTAGCTGTTTGTTTCAAAAACTCACTTTGAGAAAATAACAAGCTGTGATCAAATGTAAGAGCGACATTTCATCTCTCATCTCAGCAATTTCCTTTTCCCATTCTCACCCTTTTTATAAGATCTCCAGACAAAAGTTACAGAAAATGCATTAAGAGAGTTGAAGAAATTCCAAAACACAAAAATACTTCATTCTTTCATCAAATCGATGTTCATTTGTTATTCAAAGCGAGCTACTTTCACTTTCATGGGACCCTTTCAAACATGATGATCCAAGATTTGTGTCTCCTGCAGTGCCAAATCTCTGCTAGATACCATGTAATGGGTGCCTCAACTGCTACATAAAAGCTGGCTATTAAATCTGCCTGGGAGACCTGCAAACAAGATGGCAAACGGCAGAGAGGAAAGTTATTCCAGTTGAAATCCATCATATTAAAGGAATTATCACTTGACCTCAAGCAAGCAGTTTGTGTGAAAAACTGGCACGCTATTTTACCTGCATACACATAGGACTATGGACACAGAGGAAAAAATAACAGGATCATCCTCATGTTTCATTCTTCAGAATTTTTCTTTGCCTTGACAGACTGCTATGAAGTTTGCCCTCAAAAGCGTTGCCGGTATCTCAGGTCTCCACAACAACTTCATTCATTGAAAGATAAAACACTTTGCTGATAATTAAAATCCATAGATATTCAGTGAAGTGCACTGATGGAAAAACTAATCTCTCAGAAATACGAGTTAGAGCCCTTATGCTTTCTCTTGATGCAGTAGATCTTTTAACTCTGCGGGGTTTTTGCTATTGCTCGCTTAGGGTTTAAAATCAGGTATCACTATCTTGGTATTTTGAAATTACTATGCTGCTAAAGTCCACTAGCTAAGTCTCAAAACTCTTACAGGGCTAAAACACCTTCTGAACTAGACAATGTTAAGTTTTTGTCTAATTACACAGATTACATCACAATGCCTTTGGCCTACCATGATACTGTAAAGACATCCAATTTACATATCTTAGTTTATATACATAATTTATCCAAAATATTCCCACCTATGTAAGCCTCTGATACATCAGAGTCACAAAACAAAAATATACAGTATAACAGTGAGAAGTTCAGACAAACCAATGAAGGGACAAAAGGAGCAATGATTCCACCAACACGGGAAAACATGGAGCAGGCACCCATTCCAACATTCCTAAGAAGAAAACAAAAATCATTAATCAGTGAGATTTGCATAGCAGAAATCATGACTTTTGAAAAGTGCCATTGAGCAAGGAATTGAAAAAAAAAAAATTTCAGTCATGACCCTGACTACATTTACTGGCAAAGAAAAGTCAAATGTAACTGAAAGCATCTCAAGACAGGAATTAAAACGTACGCTTTGTGCTTAAAGAGAATCAAAAATCCCCTGCACGTTCGGAATTCTAACATACATACACATACAGAGGGATAAAAAAAAAGTGCAATTTCAGTTAATGCACCTTGTCTCCGCCTGAAACTTTGGCTAAATTCCTTTATCCAAATCCTATTTATCAGTAGATTTGCCCATCCATGAAAAACATAGAATCACAGAATCATAGAATCGTTAGGGTTGTAAGGGACCTTAAAGATCATCTAGTTCCAACCCCCCTGCCATGGGCAGGGACACCCTCCACTACACCAGGTTGCCCAAAGCCTCATCCAACCTGGCCTTGAACACTTCCAGGGATGGGGCATCTACAACTTCTCTGGGCAACCTGTTCCACTGCCTCACCACCCTCTGAGTGAAACATTTATTTCTTATATCTAATCTAAAACTTAGATTATATCCAATCTTAATCTGCCCTCTTTCAGTTTAAAGCCATTTTCCCTTGTCCTATCACTACACGCCCTTGTAAAAAGCCCCTCTCCAGCTTTCCTGTAGGCCCCCTTTAGGTACTGGAAAGCTGCTATAAGATCACCCCGGAGCCTTCTCTTCTCCAGGCTGAACAGCCCCAACTCTCTCAGCCTGTCTTCATAGCAGAGGTGCTCCAGCCCTCGGATCATCTTCATGGCCCTCCAACATCACAGTATAGTTTAACTCGTGGCCGATCATCAACAACAATGCCTGATTAAAATATTTATTAAAAATTGCACCCTGACAGATGCTTTTGTCTACTCTGTCAGCACAAGCATAGGGTACTTCTGCCTCTAGTGAGTGAAATCTTACAGTTGCTTACATATGGCCTTTGAAGCATCAAGCTACTTTTACAAAGTTTACTGACCAGTCCTCTCCAGTGTCACTAGTTAAACAAGTACAAATGTTTAACAGAGTTGTCTGGTTTATAAAGCACTGACAAAGTTACAGATATCACTCATTAAAGAAATACCAGCAATACTATCGTTATCCTCGTTAGCAGAGAGAGGGCTGTGAGCGTACCAAGCAGTCAAAGGACTATTTTACTGTTATATAAAGAATACAGTCAGTCTGAAGACTAACTAACACTGTAAACTTGGAGGGAAGAGGAATTGAGAAGAGGATAAAGGAAGAAATTTAGCATATAAAACTAAACAGAATCATATGTAACTGCAAATCCCAAATGAAAATGTATAGTTAATGGAAAAAAAAGTAAGAGGGAAATAAAAGGTGATCCAGTAAGAGACCCAGAAAAATGAAGACCTTAAAAAATTAACTTGTGTTACCTGATGACTGTGGGATAAAGCTCTGACGTGTAGATGTAGACAATGTTAAATGCAGCACTGATTGTCAGTTTCCCCAGCAGAGACAGAGAGCGACTGTTGACCACTGCAAACACTCCAGTATCTGACAGAGAAAACGTAACCCTTGTGAGGCTTTCGAGCACTCAAATACATCTCCACAATTATTTCAATCACTCAACAGTATGGAGTGAAAAGGAATCTACTGAAAAACCTGCTATGACAGCCAAGCATTTTTCTATTAGAGGACTCTCAAAACTCAAGAGAACCCAAGGAGTCTTCTCTTAGGCAGCAATGACAGAAATCATCCAACATAATTTATATTCTCTGTCTAGGGATTTGTTACCTTGCAATCAAATTTGTAGAAAGAGGAAAACTCTGTGTAACATGCTATGAAAAAATAACTAAAAAAATAGATTTTAAATTCATGGCAGACTTGCTACTAGTCCAAAATTGTTTCCACTCTATTACATATAATCCAATAGAAAATGACTGGGTTAAAAGACTGAACAGTCCCAGAGACTACAGAAAGGAACTAGTGCTCAATACCAGAAAAAAGGAGAAACTGTTTTTCTTTCCTTGTCCTCAGTGTTACACTAAGTGAATACCTTTAAAGTGTTAAAATTCTGCATTAAGGCTCTACCAGAACATGAAATTTTAGAAATACAAGATAAAAATCCTATAAACAGTAAAAGCTGAAACTAAAATGCAACATTTTTTGAGTCTACCACTAATAAAATACTAAACTAGCTCTGTTGGCAAGCAGAATAGAATAACAGATACATTTTTCAAAAGCGAGCAAGGTTATTAGTAACAAGGGCCTTAGTGTCAATTCCATAGTATGATAACGTGTTTCTAACATTATTACTTTGGAAGAAAAACAAAAAGTTAGGAAGATGCTGTAAAGAACCATATCAAATATCCCATCCAGTTCAGTTCGGTCAGAACAACCAGTGGTTACTCACTTACATCAGGCACATGGGGACACGCGTTAAATGCCCAAGGAAGGCTACAGCATAAGCCATTATTGCTTTCAACAAGTCATGCTCAGTACAGACACATGGTTGCCTCTGGCCAGTTAGCCACTCCACTTCCTCAGGCGTTTTGCCCCTGGCTGACTTTGGTAGCTCAGCACACAGCTGACATCCTGGGGTCTCTCAGTTCTAATCTCTGCAAATCTCCTCCTTTCCACATGTAATACTTTGACTAATATGCAAAAATTACTTGATGACTGGTACCAGCCTAACCAGAACGTCTCTGAGTGTCTGGACTCTAGCATTTGGAATACTTCTGGAAAATCGAGTTGCACCCCTTTAAAAAAAAAGTTTTACCTATTAGATTCAGTGCCATCTATATCCCGGGATATGGAGAAGGCTGAGGTTCTCAATGACTTCTTTGCCTCAGTCTTCATTGGCAAGAGCTCCAGCTGCACAGCCCAAGCCACAGAAGGCAAAGGCAGGGACTGGAAGAATGAAGAACCACCCACTGTAGCAGAAGATCAGGTTCAAGACCATCTAAAGAACCTGAAGGTGGGCAAGTCCATGGGACCTGATGAGGTGCATCCACAGGTCCTGAGGGAACTGGCAGATGAAGTTGCTGAGCCACTACCCATCATATTTCAGAGGTCATGGCAATCTGGTGAAGTTCCCAATGACTGGAAAAGGGGAAACATAGCCTCCATTTTTAAAAAGGGAAAGAAAGAAGACCCAGGGAACTACAGGCCAGTCAGTTTCACCTCTGTGCCCGGCAAGATCATGGAGCAGATCCTCCTGGCGACTATGCTAAGGCACATAGAAAATAAGGAGGTGATTGGTGACAGCCAACATGGCTTCACTAGGGGCAAATCCTGCCTGACTAATTTGGTGGCATTCGATGATGAGGTTACAGCATTGATGGATTGGGGAAGAGCAACTGACATCATCTGCATGGACTTGTCCAACGCATTTGATACTGTCCCACATGACATCCTTG